AAGCTGCTCTTTGCTGGTTCACGATCACAGCTGGCTCAACTTCCCCTAGCTGACTGCAGCAAGTACAGATCCTGTGCTGACTGCATTCTTTCCCGTGATCCCTACTGTGTTTGGAGCACCAACACCAGTCGATGTGTGCCCCTTCATGGTCACCTTAAGTGAGTTGTACTCCATGTCCCAAGAGGGTAAGAAGTGGAGAGCTGGAGTGGTGGGTGCTCTTCCTAACTCTGGCTTCCCCCTCCCTTGCTAGATCTCCATTTATCCAGGATGTGGTGAATTCAAATACAGGCCTTTGCAACCTTCGACCTAGCAAGAAAGGTAAGTTGCCTTTTTGTTCAAAGGCAGGTGGAATGGTATCTACCATGATTATATTAGGTACTACAGATTATTCTCTATGTAGAATATAGAATTCTCTATATAGAATGTTCTCACTTCTAGAAGATTACTGAATTGGGTTGAGTGGGCAATGGCGAGAAGTAGCAGCCCATGTCCCCGCTATCCCCAAAGTTTCTTACACTAAATCCTCCTATTATTCTTTCTCCTACAGTTAAAATCACTCCCAAGAACATCACTGTGGTGTCAGGAACAGATTTAGTGCTCCCATGTCGCCTCTCCTCCAACCTAGCACATGCTCGTTGGACTTTTGGGGGCCGAGAACTGCCAGCTGAGCAGCCTGGGTCACTGCTCTATGATGTCCGACTGCAGGCCCTGGTGGTATTGGCAGCCCAGCCCCGCCATGCTGGTGCCTATCATTGTTTCTCTGAGGAGCAGGGAGCACGGCTGGCTGCTGAGGGCTACCTGGTGGCAGTAGTAGCTGGTCCATCAGTGACACTGGAAGCCCGAGCCCCCTTGGAGAATCTGGGGTTGGTATGGCTTGCAGTAGTGGCCCTAGGGGCCTTGTGCTTGGTATTGTTGCTTCTAGTGTTATCACTTCGACGAAGATTGCGTGAAGAATTAGAGAAAGGGGCTAAAGCAGCTGAGAGAACACTGGTATACCCACTGGAGTTGCCCAAGGAGCCCACCAGTCCCCCCTTCCAACCTGGCACTGATACTGATGAGAAACTCTGGGACCCAGTTGGTTATTACTACTCAGATGGCTCACTAAAGATTGTACCTGGTCATGCCCGCTGCCAGCCTGGTGGAGGACCCCCCTCGCCGCCTCCTGGAATCCCAGGCCAGCCCCTGCCTTCTCCAACCCGACTTCACTTGGGGGGTGGACGCAGCTCAAATGCCAATGGTTATGTGCGACTACAGCTAGGAGGAGATGATCGGGCAGGACCTGTGCATCCTTTGCCTGAGTTAGCAGATGAACTGAGGCGAAAACTGCAGCAGCGCCAGCCACTGCCTGACTCAAACCCTGAAGAGTCATCTGTATGAGAGGAGCCCCCCCAAAATGGGGGGGTGCAGCTCCGACTTTTGCACAGGCACCAGCTACCTCAGGGACATGGCTGCAGGCACCCTGCTTTGCCTGGGATAGACAGGGAATTGCCTTGTCTAGTTTGGCTCCTACCCAGCAACCTGCTCTGCCATGGGGACCTGCCCTGCTCACCGTGGGCTCTGCCATGTGGGTTTGCTCTGTACTGGGTTTTTGCCTTCTGGTCACCAACCCCACAAATGGCCTCTTCTTCCTTACATAGAGAGGAGGCCAAGGATCCTGCAGACAGACCTTTGGCCCCAGCAGCCAAAATCTTTTCAAGACAGAAATTCCAGGTGTGTGTGTGTGTGTGTGTGCACATGTGTGTGGGTGTGTGTGTCTGTGCATATGTGTGTACGTTTGTATGTAATGTGACTTTCCTGTTTCTGTCTAGTCTTCCCTGGCCTGGGGTCCTGCTAAGGGCTTCTTCCTGGACCTATGAAGGGGAAGAGGCCTGGGGTTGTACCACTCTGCCTTCTTTGCCCCCACCTGCCCAGAGGCCTGTGATGGTATATAACCCCTTCTCAAGGGAATGGGGAATAGTGGGGCAGAGATGTACATATGGGGGTGGGGAAGGGAGGTAGGGTTGTACCCCCTTATGAAAGTAAATGCTCAGGGGTGGGCCTGGGCCTATTCTTAGGGCTGTGAATGTTTTAAGAGTCGGGAGGGAGGTGGGGCCCTTTTGTTGGGGGTGTGGGGAGGGGTTCCTACTTGGCCTTCTGGGGCTCAGTGGTATTTTATACTTGTGGGGAGGGAGTGGGAAAGGAGGGGGATTGTAGCTTATCACTACAGCCTCTCCCAGCAGGAGGAATAGGGGTCCTGACAGTGTAATTTATTGTGTCCCTGCATATTTATTTGTTGTAAATATTTGAATATTTTTATATTGCAAAATAAAACAAAAAATAATCCTAAGCCCAGTTGCTGGGGTGGTTGTCATAGATCTGTTTAGACCCTTCTAGAGTTTGAAAGCAGGGAGATGTGATGATGGCTAAGCACTGAAGGGAAGGCTTGGTGGGAAAAGGAGCTGGGAGCTCTAAGGAGCTAAGCAGGGGGTGGACGATGGGGGGGGAGCCCTTCCTTGTTCCAGAATCATAGGGTGGCGAATTGGACTGTCGGCCCTCTGCCCTGCTGTGCTCTTTGTGGGGAGCGGGGGCAGCTCTGGCTCCAGTTGTTTCCCACAGTGGTGGCCAGGAAGCTGGGAACCAGGCAGCCACAGCCTCTTGGGAGCCAGCTTTGGCTTTGGGCCAATGGGAGAGGTCAGGGTAATAGGAGGTGGGGGTGGGGATAGAAGGAAAGAGTGAGACTTCCCAGAAACTGTTAAGGATTAGAGGGAGGCAAAGGAGGGTAACTTCCTAGAAACAGAGTAAGGCTGTGCGTGTGTGTGTACATTGGTGTGTGAAAGGTTGGGGCTCAAAAGCAATTTAGGGAAAGGAGGGAAGATCTTAACCCTTTAGGCACCAGGGTGAGTGATGTCTGGTCTCCAGCCTAGTCTAACTCCATAAACTTTGGCTTGAATGATGACCCCTCTCGAAGTACAGTCATATTTTCTGTCCTACTTCTCTCTGACCAAAAATCCTTACCAACTGCTTCAATTTCTATGAACACTTAGAATTCGTCCTTCCCCTTCCCCAGTACAAATTCAGGAGTTCAGGAAAAAAAAATTCCTATTAAATGGAATTGAGGGTGTGAGTATTAAGGAAGTCAAGTTACTACATTCATTTAACAAATACTTAATATGAATTTAATTTATTGAGTGCCTACTATGTATAAAGTATTACAAGTTTGATTTCAGGGAAGAAACATACATACTTAAAGTGTGACGTTCCCTACCTTTTAATGTAGTTAATGGAGATCACATGTACACACCTAACTACTGAGCAGTTTAAAGTATATTTAAGAAGTAAGGTGTGAATGCTGGATGGAGGAGATCAAGACTTAATAGAAATGGGGGGATTTTGATAGGTGAAATATTAAAAGTGAGTGGGAGGAAAGGAAGACATGTTTCCAAGGGGAACAGCTTTGGGTAAAAGTGCCCAAAGACAGGAAAGGCAAATTTTATGTTTGAAAATTACTTGAGGGTTTTGTAGGGTAGCAGTTTGACATAAGACTATGAAAAGCTGGTAGGGCGCAGACTGTGGTAATGGTAACTCTTTGATGTAAGAGGATCTGGGGTTCCCTAGACCTTAGCTATTAGCTAGCACAAAGGAATACCATTTTTTGAGAACAGGCAGAATTTTGACATCTTGGACAGTTATCTCACTTAGCTTCCCCTTTGGAACGATCCTGTGGGCTTTGGGGGAAAAAGGGACTATAATTCACTGAGAGGTAATAGTGATAGATATAGTGGGATGAACACCAGACCTAGAATAAAGAGATCTCATTCATTTTACAGATGAGGCAACTAAGGCCCAGAGGGCTTAAAAGTTACAAATTTGGTGGAAAGGGCCTTAGCAGTCATCTAATTTGAGCCCTAATACAAGGTCCCACAGGTGACAAACCTCAGAGGCAAGGTGCCAGTGCTCTTTCCACTATGTCCTAGGGTGCCTCCGTAAAATGATCAGGCGTAAAGTGATCAACCTCCCACACCCGTAAAAGGAGACAATGTATGCAAAGTGCTGTGCAAACCTTAAAGGATATACAGATGCAGCCTATTATTACCTATAAAATGGGAAAAACAACACTGGTATTGCCTCTTTGCCTTCTCTCAGATTATCTCCAATTTAGCAGGTATACTTATATACCTGGTATGTATCTAGCTTTTTGCATCTTTACCCCATTAGGCTGCAAACTCCTAGAAAGTAGAGCTGTTTTAGTCTTTTTCTGTTGCCCCCGTGCTTGGCACAGCGCTTACACACAGGAGGCGCTTAATAAATGCTTGCTGACCGGCCTGTACATGTGTAGTCTCCTATCAGAAGTACCCCGGGGCAGGCCTCATTCGCAGTGCTGTTAGAGGCCTGTGAGATTATCATTACCAGGACAGTAGCGATCCCATGGTGGTTTTGGGTCCGTAAGGGTTAGGGTGGGTTGCCTGGGCCTCTGCAGACATTCTCGCTGTCCAGCCTGAGGCCCTGTAGGAGAAGCACATCCCACGGGCTGGAGCAGGATCGCAGGCGCAGGCGCAGTCCTGACCGGAGCCTCCCCGCCCCTCCCTCTCCTCCCAGTCCGGCCACGCCCCTTCCCGCCACTGACGATCCTAGCGCGCCCTCCGCTGGACACAGGATTTCGGGTTCCCCACGTCCCGCCCCTTCTCCCCCGCGACTTTGATTGGCTCACGGGGCCACACCTTCGCCTTCCGATTGGTCGTCCGAGACTGGCATCGGACGGTAAGATGGCAGCTGGCTGCTCAGTGCACCTACCGTAGAAAGTGTGGGGTCCGGGCTGGGAAAGCAGAAGAGTCGTTACCTCAAGCCTCAGCAGGCTGGCGCTCCGGTTACCTGCGCATGTCCCTGTCTGGCTACTGCCGGAAAACCACTTTGGCGACTAACAACAGCGTGAGCTCCGGGGTACAAGGGGCGGCAGGACGCAGTGACGCATCGTGACGTACGCGTTCCGACGCAGCGTGACGTGACGCAGCGTGACGCAAAGGCGCTCCCATCCCCTCTTTGCTCCTCCGGGGCTGCTTAGTAGCTCTCTTAGGGTGCACTGCCTCCTGAGGATATGGCGGCGCCCCGAACCTGCGGGGACGCCTCCTGTTGCTCTCACCAGAGCACTGTGCCCGGCGTGCAGCAGTCCCTGGAAGAAATGGACTTCGAGAGAGGTGGGGGGGGGCAGGAGCGAGGCCGCTCCGCTCGAGTCTGCAGCGGGAGGCCGCGGAGCTTTCGGACAGGCCCCGGATGTGTGGAAATGAGGGACAGCTCCAGCCCTTCATCCTCACGCTGTCTGCATCCTCTGCATCTACTGGCAGTGGGACCAGTCTATCTAGTATCCTACCAACACTAGAAAGGGGTTTAAAAGTTTCTTTAATGTATTTTTTTTTCTGTATAGCCGAGGAAGAACAGAGGGATTACAGGTGGAGGGACCTCAGCCGTCATCGACCCCCTCCCCCCCTCCCCATGGTTGTTCAGAGGCAGAGGTCTGAGCTCTGAGCAGTGCTGGCAAGTGGGCAGGCCTCTGCTCAATGTGGATTGGATTAAATCCAGTCATTTCACTTCATCAAACACTTTATTAAGCACCTACCAAATGTACCGGGCACGGTGCCCCGCTCTGGGCTACAAAGACAAAAACAAGTTGTCCCTGCTTTCTAGGAGCTTATTGGGGGGGAGGGAACAATAATAGCTGGAGGGATTAAAAATTTAGATTTATATATGTATATGTCCTATGCATGTGTATGTACATATACGTCTATGTCGATGTATATGTACATACATGTATGTGTATGCAGGATATATATATATGTGTGTGTGTATATATATATATATATATAGCCTGGTTCACTATCTCCACGTATATATGTGTGTGTGTATATGTATGTATGTATATGTATAGCTTTAGCTATTACCATTCTCGTGTTCTGTTTTTGAGGTGAGAGGGTTGGGAGGGGGAGAGGAAGGCATTGTCCCTTCCATGTGGGCCATAACAGGAAAGATAGCCTAATACAGTGGAGAGAAGACTGACATGACAGCCACTTACTCTGAGACCTTGAACAAGTCACTTTTCTGGACCTCTATTTCCTCCTTTCTACAATGAGGTGGCTAGGTTGGGGGGGCACCGTATGTTTAGTTCCCTTCTAGTTTTTACCTGCTATGACACCTATGAATGCCTTGTAACCTTGTCCTGATTTTCCCTTTGGGTCTCATCTGAAGGGATGGTAAAAGTGTTTGGTTCTAGCTGACTCTTCATGACTCCTTGGACTATAGATTGTCCATGGGATTTTCTTGGCAAAGATACTGGAGTGGTTTGCTATTTCCTTCTCCAGTGGGTCATCTTTTTCAGAACTCTTCACTATGACCTGTTCTGTCTTGGGTAACCCTGCATGGTATAGCTCATAGTTTTATTGAGCTATGCAAGCCTCTCTGCCATGACAAGGCATTGACCCTAGAGGGATGGTAAAAGTACACTTGGATTTTTTCCCTTATTAGACTATAAGTTTCATAAGGGCCTTTTTATATCTAAACTCCTGTTGTTAAACTTTTATTTCATTGCTTTATAATAAATTTGATTATTCAGATGTTAAAGAGTAGAATTAAAATCACTGAACAAAGAACTGGACCAGTTTCTCTCAAGTTCTGCCTCTTTGCTCCTAGCTTCCCCTGCAAGATATAATAAACAAAATCCAAGGCCTTAGGCTTTAAATCTGGAACTTGGAGGTCAAAAGGTAACTGACCTTGGAGAGTGGCAAAAAATGAAATCCATATGTCTCATGCTCTGAAACTCTTTTCGCAGGAATCTGGTCAGCAGCACTGAATGGAGACCTAGGACGGGTGAAACATTTCATTCAGAAGGAAACAGATCCCAGTCAACCTGACCCTTCTGGATACACTGCCTTGGTAAATTTGACATCTTAAAGAATTTGAGAAGAAATAATCCTCTTAGGTTCTAGATTTGGACAAGGCAGAAGGAGAGGCTTGAATTAAGGGAAGAAAGGCAACTCTAGAGAAGGGACATTAAATCAGCACAAAAGGACTTACTAGATGGAAGAGAGTTGTTAAAAATAATTCAGGGAGACAGAGTCAAGATGGTAGAGTAAGAGGAAGCAATTGAGCCTAGCTTGCTACTATGTCTTCTCTACACTGATCTAGAAAACACACCAGTCCACATTCTGAATGGGAAAACCAAGAAAAAGTCACAGTGAGTCATTTTTCCAGCCCAGGGCAGCTTTGGAGAAGTGTGCAGACACTGGGAATGGGGGCTGGCTAGGAGCTTGGATGGTGGTGGCTGGAAGCATTCTGAGATCCAGGGACAGAAAAGAGATCTCAGAATTAGTACTAGGTGCAGAAATGTGTTCCATCTGGCAGCTGTGTCACCTATTACCTGGGTTCTGGTCATAGATTCAGGACAGGGAACATCTGTCAAGAACATAGGCCTCGTGCACTGAATAAGGAACAAGTTCTGAAAACCTACCTGTATGTGTCTGATCCCAAAAACATAGAAGAAAGGCGTAGCCTTTAGCCCAGAGTCTAAGCCTGCACTGTAATAACTTGGGCAAGAGTCCCAGATGAAAAGGGAGTTGGCAGTTTAGTTGCTCCATACCTGCAGAATCTCCCAGTGAACTAATAGTAACTGAGTCTGATAATAAGTAGTCTTCTGAAACTCTTATCCATACTGAAGCCAACAGACTCAAACAGGGTCAGGAAATTGAAGAGCTTAGTCTAAGACAGCAGTGAACAGATCTCTCCCCAGATTATACCACTTTGGGAGCACTGAAAACTTGCAGGTTCTCAGACTGAGCTGTGAAAACAACAGAAGGATTTAAAAGGATAGAAGTGTAGGCCAGACATCCCCAGGATTATAGAGCCCAGCACTATCATAAAGCCTGAAGTCAAGAAGTAAGCTGGAAGAATGAGTAAATAAAAAAAGAACCCTCCACCATAAATATTGTATATTGTATATTGTATATATTGTAACAGGAAATTCAAGACACTAAAAAGAAAAAGAATTATTTGAAAACATCTGCAAGCAAAGCTTCCAAGAAAAATGTAGCTTACACACAAGTCCAGCAAGAATTCCCCAAACAATTAAAAGTTAAAAAAAAAAGAGAGAGCTAAAGATGATTTTTAAAAAATAAACAAATGAGAGCTATGGAAGAAAGATTAAAGAGACTCAACAGCTTGGAAAAACAGGTTTTAAAAAAAGAAAACCTTACCAAAGAAAATAATTCCTTGAAAATTTGAAGAAAATATGAACTATCTCATTGGAAAAACAACTAACCTAGGGGCAGCTAGGTAGCGCGGTGGATAGAGCACCTGCCCTGAAGTCAGGAGGAACTGAGTTCAAAATCTGGTCTCAGACCAAACACTTGACACTTACTAGCTGTGTGACCCTTGGCAAGCCACTTAACCCCAATTGCCTAAAAAAAAAAAAACTAACCTAGAAAACAGATCAAGGAGAGTTAACTTAAGAATCATTAGACTATGGATCGAGCACTGGCCCTGGAGTCAGGACCTGAGTTCAAATCTGGCCTCAGACACATAACACTTTCTAGCTGTGTGACCCTGGGCAAGTCACTTAACCCCATTGCCTAGCGCCCGGCCCCCCCCCAAAAAAAGACTCGTTAGACTCTTGAAAGCTCGGAATAAAGAAAGAACCTAAACATCATACTTTAAGAAATCATGAAATCAAACTATCCAAATATCTTAGAACCAGAGGCCAAAGTGGGAATTGAAAAGAAGCCATTGCTCACCTCTGGAAATTCCCAAATGAAAATTCTCAGGAATATTAGAGCCAAAATCCAGAGCTCCTGGGTTAAGGAGAAAATATTGCAAGTAGCTAGAAAGAAACAGTTCAAGTACTGAGGAGCCACAGTCAGAATCACACAGAATTTAGCAACTACCACATTGAAGGAATGGAGAGCTTGGAATACCCTGGAAAAGCGGGGTGGTGCTGGAACAATTGGGGAAGGGGAGCATCACAGTAGTAATTTGAAATGACAAAAATTTTTAAAAAACATTAAAGAGTTAAAGAAAATAGATTGGAGGGAGGGGAGTGTTGAGTAATTTTTTTAAAAATAGGAGCAGTAGGCCAAATAAGTTTGGGAACCTCTGTAAGGGTAAAGGATCTAGGTTTACAGCCAAGAGTAACCTAACCAGTAAAACTGAGTATAATCCTACAATGGGAGGGGGAGGATGGACCTTTAACAAAATAGAGGTCTTCAAAGCATTTTTTTTTTTGGGCAATTGGGGTTAAGTGACTTGCCAAGGGTCACACAGCTAGTAAGTGTCAGGTGTTTGGTCTGAGGCCAGATTTGAACTCAGGTCCTCCTGACTTCAGGGCCAGTGCTCTATCCACTGCATCACCTAGCTGCCTCTCTTCAAAACATTCTTGATGAAAAGACTAGAGCTGAGTGAAAAATCTGACATGCAGACATAAGAGTCAAAAGAAGCATACCCCCAAAAAGATCAGAGAAAGGAAAAGGATTCATATACAAAAATATTGTAGCAGCCCTGTTTGCGATGGCAAAGAATTGTTAATTGAGGGGATACCCATCAGTTGGAGAGTGACTGAACAAGTATGAGAATGTGATGGAATACTATTGTGCTGTACGAAATCATGGTGGGCATAGTTTCAGAAAAACCTGGGAAGACATACGAACTGATGCAAAAAAAGCAGAATCCGGGGAACAATTTATGCAATAACAACAATATCATAAAAACTGTTATCTCTGAAAGATTCAGTAACTGTGATTAACATGGTTAACAACCTTAGTTCCAAAGGACTTATGATGAAATGTGCTTTCCTCCTCTAAATAGAGAAGTGATGGACTTAAGAGTACAAATTGAAGGATATTTTTCTTTTCTTTCCTTTTTATTTTTGGACATGTATGATTCAGGAATTTGTTTTGCATGACTACAAACATTTGTGATGAATTTTGTTTTTCTTTTCATTTGGTAGGGGAGAGGGAGGAAGGAGAGAATTTGGAACTGAAAATAAAACTGAATTAAAAACAGAAGATGAATATTTGGCCTTTTACTCCTTTATTCCTATTTTTCTCTTCCTTCAGAGTTGACTCTTAGGCATAAGGGTAAATCCCAGTTCTGATTTCCATTGACTTGATTCCCTATAGCACTATGCCAGTCGAAATGGGCACTATGCTGTGTGCCAGTTCCTCTTGGAGAGTGGAGCCAAGTGTGATGCTCAGACACATGGGGGTGCAACAGCTTTACACCGAGCCAGCTATTGTGGGCATACTGAAGTGGTTCGACTACTGCTGTCCCATGGAGCTAATCCAGGTGTGGCAGATGATGATGGAATGACTAGCCTACACAAGGTATATATCAATTTTCAAACATTCTTGCTAATTAATTGGAATGAGGGAAGGAGGGATCTGTGTCATGAATAGTTAAATCAGGTAGGGATGATAACTAGTAGCTAGGAATTGGCTTTTTTCAACAGTTCTCCCTTTGGGATAATGACAAACAAGGTAGTAAGGAAGAAATGGCTTTAGAACCAAGACAGGTAATCCATAAAGCAGTCTATACCATTGTCAGAATTTGCCTTTTATCCCTGGCTCTTTGGTGGGAAAATCAAACCAGAAAGAGAATCAAACTGAAAGTCACTTTATTTCCAGGACATTAGAATAGTGACTGTCTTCTTTTATGAGATAAGGTGGTTCTGTTGGGGTTTTGGGGGCACAGCAATGAAGAAACCTCAGGGAAGAAATGTCAGAACTGATTTAGTATGTCTTAGGAAAACTTTGATTCCCTCTTTCTCTTCCTGATGGTTGTTTTCCTTCACAGGCTGCTGAGAGAGGTCACTTGGATCTGTGTTGCCTCCTGCTGCAGCATAGCCCAGCTTTGAAAGCTGTTCGAGACCGTAAGGCCCGGTTAGCATGTGACTTACTGCCTTGCAACAGCGACCTTCGAGACCTGCTTGCTAGCTGAATAACCAGATTCCTGTCTCAGCAACAATTCTGGAATCTCGATCTTCTACCCCTGCATTCTATGGAGTGGGAAACTGAAACTCAGGGCTTGTGAGACTGAACAAAAGAGATAGGACCGTCCTGAGGGAGGTCACTGCCCAGGCCAGGAAGGGAACTTGGTGTAGGTGCTCAAGTCTGACAGGTGATCATATTCTAAATTAGCACATGTGGAAACAAGCTATTTCCCTAGTTAAGAGTCGGTACCAATGACCAGATAATTCTTTAAGGGGAAACAGCTTCTTCTTTCCCACACCCCAGAACAACCCTTTTTCTTAGAGTAAAATATTCTCCTCTGATACCCTGATAACCCAGTGAGTTAATCTTCTTGTTATGGGGCAAATAATGAAAAATAGAGTCAGACTTATTTTTACTTTAGTATTTTGCTGGCAGTCATAAGCAACTCTTCAGTGCCTTTAAAACTGAAGGCAAGAAATCATCTAAAATCTGTCAAAACCACCAGGAAGCAAAGTGTTAGTGGGCCGCTTGGACATTAAAGCATTTGCAAGGAAAATAGCTCTGATGGTGTTGCTCATTTTGGACTACTTAACTTGGGTGAGAATTCAACAAGCAGCTTGGTGTAATGGAAAGAGTGTTGGATTTGGAGTCAGAATCTGGGTTTAAATCTCAGCCCCATGACTACTTTTGTCATCCGTAGATGAGCTGGTTAGAGAAGATGATGTCAAAGTTCTCTTCCAGCTCTGAATCCAGCTTTTAACTCCTTGCTCAGTGAATCTCCCTTGGTCACTCAATATTAGGAACTTCAGCTTTTTGTCGTTCGGCATGTGCCCCCTCCCCCCGCCCACCCCCAGGCTTTGCAGTCTTCTGTTGCTCAAGTTATGGAATCATCTTTCTTTAGCATCCGTTTTTCCATTGAAGGTCAAGATTTTAACCAGCCAGATAAAGAATTGGACTAGCTCTAAGAGAAATAGGCACAGCTTATTTCAGGGGAATCAGGGAAGAAAATTATGGAACTGGATTTTGTGGTTGTTAATACCTAACAGGAAGAGAACTCCACAAGCTACAATTTCACTTGGTTCAATTATGAGAAAACGGTTCCTGTTCATGGACAGAGGCCACACAAAGACCTACTTTAAATTGGTTGGGGAGCTTGCTTCTTGCTGCCTATTCCTACGAATATAGGCTTAACATTTTTAATAAAGGAAAACAAAGTGCTCACTCCATAACCTAATGATTTAGAGATTGATAGTGTGCTGTGTGTCTAGAGTTTGTGTCTGTGGTCATTATCCTTGTTTTGGAATGAGTACTGTTGGTGATGGGGTTAAGCATTTAGCTTAAGAAATTCAAAATTGGTGATTTATAGGAGAAGAAAAATAGGGAGATGTTGGAAAGAGAGTTATGGAATTATCAGGCAGCGGGGAATAAAGTGCCTTGGTCAGTCATCAGATGAAGTTAGTTTCTTCTCTTGAGGCGACACTTCTGGGTTTAACAGGCCCTTGCTGAACACCCTATTGTTTCTACGTAGTTCATCAAAGGCATAGAATCTTGCCTCTTTCTTGGCAAATATGGTGTTATTTTCACACCCCTTTTGGCATTTATGCTGCTGTAGAATAACATGGGGACTATTAGCTTAGACCTTGTGACCACCCCTGTTTAAATCTGGGCTTGCTGGATGATCATTTGTAATTATGGTTCTGCTATACTTACACTCATAATACACTTGGGCTAGACTCCCCTGGGTCATCTCTGCTAAGATTGATTTGCCAGTATTTAAAGATGCCAAATAGAAGGTGTCAGGGAGTAACGGGATATGACTGATTCAGCTCCTAACACCACCATATCCTGGCCTCAGCGGGCCCTATTTCAAGGCTGGTATTTTGGTTAGTTACAGAACCACTGAACTATCTCTGACCCTGTGAGCCTTGGCTTCATCCCTGGCCCCAAACTGGGCCCTTCCTATGCCCTCTATCTCAGTGGCAGAGTGCTGATATAAAAAGCAAACTGCCACTCAGCTAGCCATAGTGAGGGAGTGAAGAGCAGGGGGGGGACCATGGATTTCATCAACATTCAGCAATTGGTAAGCTGGGGGCTATGGATAGTGGGAAGCTCTCAAATTTCTTTTACATCTTAAAATGGGAATTTCATGTAGGGAATCCCAGAATTTACTGTTTATACTTTTGTCTCAGAGAAGTTTTGTTGTTGAACTAGAGTTTAGGTAGCAGGAAGAGGAAAATATTTCATAATATTAATGCTAACTAAGCTGGCAATTACTTTCTACTTTCCCATTTTTCCCCATCTGCTCATGTTCCAAAGTCCTCACTGAGATGTTCCTGTGCATTGCCTGACAGCAGGCCTACACAATCTGTGGCTGCCACTTACCATCCACCAGGACTTGCTGCCCACCAAGATTCCTCCTCCATACAAAGGATTTTTTTTCTATATTTTTCCACAGGCCACCTAACTCGTTTGGCATAAGCACCCCTGGGGCTGCAGGTTATGCAGGTCTGCCCTATAGCTAGCCCTCTTGACCGCCTAGAAATAGCTGTGTTTAATTCAGAAACCCGTTCCTTTGTTGGTGAGGAGTACTTTAGGAGTCATTAATTGCTCAAGCCTATCCCCTTCCCCAAGGTGTTATCTTAGTTCCAGTGTGTAGAAGACAGAATGTGTTGTTCGTCGGGATAGAATTGTTAGGGTATCGTGTGTACAGAGTACCTCTGATTTTTTGGGGAGTCCTGCCCTGAACCGTTAGGATTAGGAGGACTGGGGATGCCTCGGGCCTTCTGGCAAACGTATCAAGCCAGAGTGGTGTCCTGTCTAGAGCCAGATTCCTGATAGTTGTTGTAGGAATGGTAATGACTCTACCCTAGGTTGTACTAAAGAGTATTCGAGTAGCAAGGGCCCTTAGAGATCATCTAAGTGACCTCATTTTGTAGCTGAACAAATCAAGCTCCAGAGAAAACAAATGAGTTGTCCACTATTGTATGTATAACTGCAGGGATAGAGCCATGAATCTCCTCTTCTGTCACTCCAGTCCCACCTTGCTTCCGGGCCTGCAGTGGACTTTCCAGGGAGCCCAGGGCAATGGAAATACAAAGGGGTTGAGGGTGGGGTGGGGTGAAGTGTTATCAGTCAGCACCAGTCGTTACTTCTTGGCTGAGATAACTTAGTTGAGACAGTGTATAGTTACGGTGACTGAAAGGTCAACACAACTTGTGCAGAAACTAGACCCAAATAGAAATTCCTAAGGCAGGGGTTCTTAACTCGAGGTCCATGGACTTGTTTTTCAATATAACTGGTTTACTTGTAATCCTCTGTATTTTACTTCATGCATTTTAAAACATTCTGAAGAGGTTCACAAGCTTTACCAGATTGCTAGGAGCAAAGTAGAGGGTCCATAACCCAGAGTTAAAAACCCCTGTTCTGAAAGTGCTCTATTTTACCCCGACCCAGATCTCATCTTTATATCCCTTCCTTCCCACTGTTCCCAGCCCCTCAGCAAGGAGTAAACAAGAATGAGTTTGTCTCCTGGAATAGTCTAGGAATCTGCACTTGTGCCCCTGGGGCAGTCTGCCCCTGATAGCAAGCTGGGGAATGAGTGATGAGCTGTCATCTGTTCAGCATGTTGGAAATGTTTTCCTCCCCTTATGTGACCCTACCCAATTTCAGGAACAAATGTGGCATAAATAGAACTAAGATTATGACCCCCTGCAGGGACAGGTGCAAGTGCACATGGCTGTCAGCCACTCCCCAGATCCTCAGGAAGCACTGCAGTTGATGAGAACCTGTCCCTTTTCTGAGCTTAGCCACAGATCCAGGGGAATCCTGGCTCCCTGGTCCACCAGGCAACAGTTTTCAGAGAACTTTCAGAAATTTCCTGACACCCTCTTCTGCCCTTTCCTCACAGATAAATGGTGAGAGAGCCGAGGGCAAAGTCCTGGGAATCGGACATGGAGTCCTTGATCCTGGAGGCTGGAGAGGTGACCCTGGACTGAGTCCCCAGGAAACTGTGGCCCTGGAGAGGCAAAAGTTAGAGGAAGAAAAAAAGAAAAAAGTGAGTGCGTGTGTGTGTGTGTGTGATACAGTGAGTGAGATGGCTGCAGAGCTGCTACGGTAATGGTGTATACAGGGGGGGGTATAATGAAGTTATAGCAGATGACCTCAGAGGTTTTCAGAATCAGTTTTGATAGCTGACTATTCTCCCTCGCCAATAGTTTCTACCATCCTCATCTCACATGTTTTTCCCACCCTTATTTCAGCTTGAGGCTTTTAACAATTCCAGGCTCAGGCTTGAGAGCCTGGCTGACTTAGAGAATTTGGTGCTGCAGCGGAAAGAAAGGCGCCTGAAACGGAGGGTCCCTCCCAGGGCACCTAAGCCCCCGGTAGAGGTGAGTGGGGAAGACCAAAGAATGGTGGGAAAAGTACGTTAATAGTGCCCTAGGAACATTTCAGTCTGGGCTCAACACTAAAAGTGTTAGCCTGTTTCGAATGATCCATGATTTTATCCTGACTACCCCAGCTGCAGCCTCCATCCCAGCTGCAGCCTGTGGACCTGGAGACATTTCTGAAGGCAGCTGTTGAAAACCAAGAGCTCCTGATTGACAAGTACCTGGCAGATGGTGGTGATCCTGATGCCCATGACATGGTAGGGTAGAGAAATAAGAGAACGTAACAGTCTTTGACATACATTTCAAACCTAATTATCAAAGGAGTCACAATTCCTTAGTTCTAATCCTCTTGGAAGGGTAGCCATCCATACATATCTCCGTTTCCTCTCTCCACACCCAGTTTCACCGAACAGCCTTACACTGGGCTAGTCTGAAGGGTCACAGCCAGATTGTGAACAAACTGTTGGAGGCGGGTGCCACAGCTGATGCGCGAGAAATGGTAAGTTGGGAGGAAGAGCTAGAAGATCGGGGATCTCTTTTCTTCCAGTGGGGCTGAACTGGGAAAAGTTGGTCATAAGGATGTCCTTTCTGAAAACCTTAGGACTTTCTTTTACAGTTGGACCGGACACCTTTGTTCTGGGCCTGCCGTGGAGGACACCTAGAGATCCTTAAACAGCTACTCAACCAAGGGGCTAACGTCAATGCCCGGGACAAGGTAAAGGTTCTGGCAGGGAATATAGAGGTGTTATTAACTCAAAGAGTGTCAGTGCTGGAGAGCTAATGTGGTAAGTCCTACAATGAAAAAGTTTCTTTGCATGGAGAAAGGGGAAATTTTGTGTATTGGGTTTAATATGGCAAGGTGTTTGGGTGAGGTAAACTGTTTGGCATTAATAAATTCCTAACATAAGACTTGCCCCTATCTAGATTTGGAGTACACCCTTGCATGTGGCTGTTCGAACAGGACACTGTGACTGCCTTGAACACCTTATTGCTTGTGGGGCCCAAACTGATGCACAAGATAAGGTAGGAAAATTGTCTTAGTAATAGAGAGTGACTTGAGGATGTTATGATTAAAAAAGAATGATGCAAGGAGCTAGCTGCTCATTGGCATCACCTGTTGTCTTCGTGGAGTTCTATAATTGGAAACTATTTCTTCTCACCACCATTTCAATTGGTTCATTACTCATATTTGGGAGAGATAGGAAGGTAAAAAGGGTATGGAATAAAGGGAGGGCCCAACTCTTAACATGCTATTCCTATAGGAGGGAGATACAGCCTTACACGAGGCAGTAAGGCATGGCCGTTACAAAGCCATGAAGATGTTGCTGCTCTATGGGGCCAAGCTGGGTGTTCGTAATACTGTGAGTATGAGAGTTGGCCAAGGGAGTTTTCACTCAGATGTGGGGGGTTGGTTTTCAGGGGAGAATGAAAGTTTGTATTTGTGACTGTTCTTTGTTCTCAGGAGGCAATGACACCAGTACAGCTAGCACGAGATTGGCACAGAGGCATCCAAGAAACACTACGGGCCTATGTTGGGCATCCCCGAACTCGTTGCTGATGACAATGACAGACCTTGTAGAGGCTACCACCATTCCATCCCCTTCCCTTTTTTGTCTATCAGTTATGGGATAGCTCAGGTGGTCAGGCCACAAGTTGGGATTTTCCCAACTCTATTCCCCTGTCCCATTGAGCTGTTCTACTGTACCAGGCAAGGTTAATTCCTTGGCCTTTTGTTTCTTACCCCTCTCCTCCCCTCAATTCCTAGTGATCTATTTAGTAAGGAATATTGGTCCAGATTATTTTCCTTGCCCTTGAATTCAATCTTTCACCTTCCCTGGTAGCTACCTCAATGATTAGGAAAAAAAAAATTCTGTTAGAAAAAGCAAGGTCAGGCTTCAGGATGGACATTGTCAAGCACACATGTAACTCTAAGGGGTGTCCTATTTGGTTTGAGCTGGTCAGAGACAAGCTGTTCAGGTCAGTAAAGAGATTATAAATTTGTAAAGGTAGGAGAGAAGACACTCTAAGTTCTGTGAGTGGTAGCAGTGAGGTTTAAGATACTCACAAAGGTGAAGTTAGGTAGGTGAAGACTGAGGGGATGGGAACCATCTGGTGGTCTATCAACCATGGTCCCACAAAAGCTATTCAGAAGCTTCAGGACCAGAGAATTGTGCCCTTCAGCTTGTGGGTGACCTCAACTGTATTACAACTTATATAAGGGCTCATGCTCATTAGCAGCAATCCTGATGGGGCATGGTGTGGCTTTAGAAAGTTTCAGTCTTAAGGATTCTTGAGATGGTTGTTGGCTTTTGCAGAGTTATGGTGTATTCTGGGATTATTCATTCTATGTATAAAACAGCACACCCAAACCCTAAGTCCATAACCAACCTGGTTGCTCAAAATTCCTCTAAGACTGACAGATGAGGGCTAGAACCCTCCGCTGCCCCAGAGGAGTCATCTCTCTCTGCCCCTGGGCTTTGGTCAGAACTTACATGATTTGGTTCATTTTCTGTTCTTGTCAGGGTATTAGTGCGTGGTCTCTTGCTCTGTGGTTACTTGTGGCCCACCCAAGATACTTGGGGTGGTGGCCTGTACTTGCAAGGGTTGAGGCTGCCCTGTAACATGGCAGGTAGGAATTTGGAACTAGGGTAGATTTCCATGGTTGTGGTGCCACCTCTCTCTACTGCTTGTCACAGAAGGAAGTATGCCTGCTATCTTACGTATAGCAAGGCAATAGGAGAAAAGGCTGGCTGCAAAGAAGATAGTGGAACTGAGTATATAATACATTCTGGATACTTTCTCCATATATTCTTTTTATACACTGAAAATGTGTATTATGAAAATACACTTTTCTTAGTGGTTACTGGGGAGTCTTAAGGCAAGTTTCTACTGTCCTTACCACTAAAGTTTCTGATTTCTACGTATTGCTGGTCCAGTACTGCTGGTCAGGCTAAGATCCTAGCATCACCAGAGACCTCATCTTCAAATACCTTGCTTTAGCCCCACTGACAGAAGATAAGGGAAGATGGAAGCCCAAAGAAGGACAGGACCCCTCTCTTAGCCTGTTAAGTGCTCTGGGCCAGGCCTAGGTTGAAGGCCTGGATTACATATCCTTATCATGACAAGTGCCACTGTGGCTGCTGATTTTCTGTCTTAGGCTCCTGCTCCCCTTGAGCTTTAAGGCTAGGGTGTCCTCCATGTAGGATGAGAGCAAGACAAAACCACCCCTGTAGGTTGAGGCCATAAAACCTTCCACACACCAGCAGCCTGGCCTTGCCTTCCAGGCTGTGTAGCCTACAGGGCTGGTGCCAGAAGGAATAAGTTCTGACACATGATTATGGCAGTGACTACTCCAAAGTTAGAAAATGGAAAAATGCAATAAGAGCAAATGAAACATTTTTGTACGGATCCTTTTTTTTGGTTGTTGTTTTTCATTAAAACTGATTCTCTTTTGTAGCCTGGTTATATTCTATGGTGGTGTGAAAGAGGACAGGGAAAGAAAAAAGATGGAGAAAAACTGTTTACAGCAATCCATTTTTCACTGTTGGTGCCTAGGCTTTGAACAATCGTAATTAGTGTGACATCTTCAAATCATGACTACCTTGTCCTGAATTTCAACCCATGTAGTGCTTCAGTACAACTGCCAACCCAAGCTTAGAATTTCATCATTTACCAGTTAACACTTAGTGGGGGAGGGAGAGAGTGATATTACTCATGGTGCAGGGTGCCCCTGCGCAGGTTTGAGACTCTGGACTTTTTGTGCATAGGCGACTGTTAATCAAAGACTCCTCCCTCTTAGAAAAGATTAAGCGCTAAATCATTTTTTTTCCCTTTTGCTTGCTTCAGCTGACATTTAACTGCCCATGCAGCCCCGCCCTTTTTGGTACCTCATTCCAGATGGAAAGACTACCAAGGAAAAAGGCAAGTGAGTTAAATGACCTCCGATTCCCTTGACAGTATAGAAAGGGACTAGTTTCTTCTAAACTAAGTCTCTACCTTTGCCTTTTAGGCAGTGATCTCTGGTCTCAAGGCTTCCATTACCCATGTAGTGGCAAAGAGTTAGTTCCCTATACCTAAGATTAGGAATTAAGAATCTCTCTCATGAGAAGAGGATCCTACAGTTCAGAAAGCTCTCCCTTCTACATGCCAGCTTCCCAAGGATGTCAGTCACATTAGTTGGTTACACTGTATATAGGACCATTAGAAGCAAATGAAGATGTTAAGACTGGGTACAACAGAGTCAACAGGATGTTATAAACAATGACCTGGGATCACAGTTAAGATTAGATTCAAATAAAAGCACACCTGCCTTCACTCCATATGTGACCTCAAAAAAATAACCAGGATACTATTAGTAGCAACTAGTCCTGGGGTTAAGGGAAGGGAGAAAACTGGGTCCTTCACCTGGGTAGCATGAGGGACCACCTCTAATAATTTAAAGCAGCAAGGCCAAGTCACAAAGGGAAGTATAGCTTGGGGTGGCCAGAGGCAGGAGTGACCTGAACCCTTAGTTCAGAGAGAGCTGAGGGTGGGAACAGGTTGCTCTTTTTATTTGGGCAAACAGCAGCCTCCACAGGAGGAGTTTTGGGAACAGACAGGCTATGCACCTGCCACTATAGTACTTAGGGTTTGGCACAAGAAAGACATAAAAGGGGAAGATAAAAATGTGGCACTGTGAAAAAGGGAACTGCCTTGCAGGCCAGAGCTTACTGCCACAGACAAAGCCTCTGGATCAGCGCCTTGGGCAGAGCAGTATTCTTGGCTCACTCTCAAAGTGCTGCCAACAGCAGGTACTTGGCAAATTAAAAACAAGGTGAATGCAGGTCACAGCCACATGTTAAAAGAGTATAATTTCTGCATTCGCATAGTAAATAATACTCCACTATCATAGCCTTAAGGCTATGAAGCATCCCCATTAAGGGGGGAGGTAAAGAGGGGAAAGGGCACCTTGGGATTCCGAGATGATGGGCTTTTCTTTAATTCCCTGTAGACTCCTGTCCCAGGAGCAGGGTCTGGAGAATGATGCTACAACTGATTCCCATCCCCACAAAAGAGGCAGATTTCTTATCTGCAGCAGGCTCTTAACACTGGCATTAGGCCCAGAGCCCATGTCTCTAAAAGCCACCTAAAACGTGGCCAGAAAGGGAGGGGACAGGTTGGCATGAAGCTACTCCTGGGCTCACTCAAGTTCCCCACTTGCTTGTCCATCCCCAGTTTTGGGGTTGCTTGGCAAGAAGTTAAACTCTTGTGTTCCTCCCAAGACTCTCTTCTGTTGGGGAGTTCGGTCTACTGTTGGCTGTTCCTGAAAGAGATGTGAAGAAGAAAGGTCACGGTCTACCTCCTGAAGATGAATAAGCTGAGGCAGCAACAAAGACAGTAAACTGCTTGGGTAACATCGGGCAGAAAGAGGTCACCTCAAGGTACCTTGGAGATTTCAATCTAGTGAAGGGCTGGGATTAGGAAACAGATTTCTCTTCATAGAACGCAATCCATAGGGTCAGGCATCAGTATCTGGGTATATAGAAATAGTGAGTGGTTCTTTCCATGGTAAAGTAAGTTGAAACTAGAGAAGGCTAGGAAGGTATATCTGGAAAAAAAAGAACCTAGCCCTTGACAAAGAAACAGTCTTGGCTAAAAAGGACTGGTTTTCCCACAGCTCAGTGGGGATTTGGCAGGCATTTTGCCTCTCAAGAGAATGAAAAGCAGTACTAAGGACAGAAAAGTTCAAACACCACTCCTTCCCAGAAGGGGGGCAAATCTGTACAACACCAGCCTTTGCAGGAGGAGACTTCTTGGGAACAGAGGCAGGCTGCCCTCCTACCAGCCTTTGTAACTGGACAGAAATGCCAGCAGGTCTCCTCCAAACATCAAAGGCCTGTTAAAGCCAAAGAAAGGGGGAAAAAATGGAAGGGAAGATATTTACCTTGGGTGTTTTCTAAAAAACAAAAATTCTCACTAGTCCACAGTCATCTATCAACTGCAGTTTCCAACTGTGCCAAAGAGGGAAATGTTTACTGGGAAGGCTGGAGAGAAAGGGGGGATGGGGAAGAGGAGAGAAAGGAGAGAGGAAGATACAAAATATTTAGCTAAAATGGCAGGTCAGTCAGCACATACCATCAAGGACTAGACCAGGAGATAACCATATTTACTCACATAATTCCCACACAATTTATGCCAACTGTTTAAAAATGAGACAGATTTTGCAGGTAAATTGTTTTCTGCTGTCGTGAAATACACCAAGAAACCTAGAGCATAAAATCTCTTTCTGAGATGAGCCTCTGAATTCACTTGGTAGTGAATAGTGTGGATTAGCTATTTTCACTTTGAAAAAGTATTTGACAAGATTCCCTATTGATGACTTTTAAAAAATAAAGATATCAGATAATCCTTAAGAGTTTAAAAATGGCTACTGATATTCTGGCTTTGATAGGAAATAAGTTGACTAAAGGTACATTAATCTGAATGAATAAACATTAACAGCAGAGTCCCACTGGAAATGATTCTAAGACTAGTACTATTTACTTCTCATATAAATTATCTGGAAGAAGTCAAATATAGTAAGATTTCTAAGTTTGCAGATGATGCTTAATTCTGTGTAGTGAAATACCAAGCTAACAGGGAAAAACCCAAGAAAGGCCTCACAAATCTGCATTAATGATCAAAAAAGGGGCTGCTGAGCTTCACTGTGGCATTTGTTGTTAATCAGGAAGAACTATTAAAAAAACTCTTCAGATAGGGCAGTCAGTTAAAAGTGAGGGAAAGGAATTAAGGTGACCACAGGTTGCTCTCAAATCAGAACTGTCTGAATGGTGCTCCTTTAACCAGAAAGGTCACAAAATTCTGGGTAACATTCAAAACAAAAGTGAAAATTTTTCTAGACTTCTGCACTTGTGAAACAAAGGAGAGCTTAACTATAAGGGAGATAAAGAGAGATTTTTTCCTAGGTGGATTAGGACTCTTCGGTCTGAAAAAAAAAAAAAAAAAAGAGAAAGTATATAATTCAAGTTTTTAAGTTCTTGAAGGGTTATGTTCAATGTAAATTCAGAGTTGCTGAAATTCCAATCTAGTACAATTAGGGACACTCTTGAAACTCAAAGGATGAAGCTTTAAGGAAGGAAAAAAAAATGACTGTGTTACATAATGCAGCCCCCAAGGGATGCCAGAAACACAAAGTATAAAATAAATGTAATAAAGCTTTGGGTTCAATTCACAGATAATATATAATGAATTAAAAGAAACTAGTCTATTTTGATAACATGGCTAATCTATAGGATTGACATCTTTCACAAAATGTCCCTTCTTGTCAAAAGACTGAACACTACAACAATTGGTCAAGACATCTCTGATGTTTAAAATATACTTTTAACGATCAGAATGACTGATGCAAAGGGTTCAAAAGAAGCTACAGTCCTAATAATTGTGTGGGAGAATATGAGTAAAGACAGTACCTGTCAGCATTTGAAGCAGTAGTTACTTTCCCTTTACACCATCCCTAGGGGCAACTCAGGAGAATCTATGGGAGTCCCAAAGTTTTGTCTTTGGTTCCTACTTCAAAGCTCACAAAAAAATAACACGATTATTCAATTTCTTTGATTATTCTTCCAAGAAACATAGATTTCTGGGAATGCTTAATTTTCATGCCTTTTATCACACTCTCTCATATATTATCCCTACCTTTTCTTTTATAAAAGCTTGTGTCCCATTCTCCCTTGACTACTTCCCTTTATACAACTGGTCTACACACAGTGGGGCACTCTATATTTTACTAAGAGATAAAAGAATTAGATACTACCAAATTGCTTTCATTAGTTGCTTTCCTAGTAGCGATGATTTGTATTGCAATAACCCATTCACATCCTCACCTAATCTCATTTGTAACTAGGTATTTTTGAGTGGATTAGAACTGAAATATACTATAGAGTGATTACACACAATGCAGAGGCCTAAGTTTAGCAGCTAAATCCTAACCAAGTGAACCAACACAAATAAAAACTAAAAAGCTGCCACAGACTTCATATACACCCTACTGGTTGAAGCAAATGGAAATTCATCTAATGAATAAAGGGCATAGCTAATTAAAGGTCAGCTGATGAGAAAGGGGGAAAGTAGAAAGGAGGAATGAGGGGAAGGAACTGGGACAAAGAACACCAGTTAATTGGCTCCAGAGATACCCAAACAGGAAGAAAGTGACTGAGTTTGGCCGTAGGCCAGGGACTTGACTTCCAGTGCCTGCTGCAGGATGGTTACCTGCTGCTGCAACAATCTTGCTATGGAGCAGCTTGGTCTGGCTGTTG